TGACTTTGTGGGGATGACTGCACAGTCACATAGTTCAATGAAGAACTAAAATATGGTTGTGGACTCCAAGCTCAGCCACTTCCAAATAAATGTTTGTGAAACCTCCAACTTTAATAGCCACATTGTATCATCCAAAAGAGGTCTACAGAATGAATAGATGACCTTTCAGACAGAGAACAAGCTGTTCATCATGTCTTTTCATTGACTGAGACAAAATAACTCTTTTTATGCAGAGATAATACTGTCCACCGTTGTTAACAATGTTGGTGAAATATAAAGAATTTAACTGTTTTGTTTCTGAATGCAAGGGATTTTAGCTATGTGTCTTTAGATCAGGACTCTTTCTAGACCAGCTGTGTTAAATGCATTGATCTAGACAGATTTATTTTAATTTTTTTAAAAGACAATGGAGGTATTTTGAATCCCATGCTCGCAGGGTGGGATGTCATTAGCCGTGCATCCATGTGATATTCACATGATATCTGTCTTTGAATGATATATGGATGGATCCTTATTGCTATCTTGCACTGCAGCGATGGGATCAATAATTTACTGACAAGGATGTCCAAGACAGCTGTAAAGGAAATTGGTCTAAATTATTGTGAAATTGCAGCCTTGGCATGAAAAGCTGCTGGGGTGCTCTCAGTTGCACACTCATACACAAGAACTAGCTTGGAGTGGAGTAAATCACAGTGAGAAAATCAGGATTCAGAAACCAGGGCTTGCCTTATCTTTCTCCTGTGCGGTATGGTTTGGCCTTTAGTGCAGTTGTAAATCCACCACTTAAATCACAACTGAATATAATTGGTGATAATTAGTACCAACTAGTTATACTGGTAAAGCGTTTTCATCTGCAATATAACTGGAATCACTTCTGTTATTGCTCAGCTTCTGTCCATATTCCTGTTCTTATCTGAAAAAGCAAACCTGTTCTCTTCTTAAAAGGAACACAGTGTATTTGCTGAAATTTAAAAAAAAATACAGTAAACAGGAACCCCTCAAAACCTGAGGAAGATCTTGCCACTTGGGGAAGAAACAAACAGAACCAAAAACCAAACAGAAACATTTTTACTTAGCAGTTGAAAAGACCAATATAATAGTCTGTTTGCAGAAAAGAAAAGGTTTTGTTGCTTGTGAACTAAATATGGATGATCATGCATCATATATGAGCAGTTTACTAAAATTGGAAGCAAATTTGTTTCAGAATTGTATAATAATTTCAGTTAGAAGGGATCTGTGAAGGCATCAGATGCAGCCTGTGCAGGAAGCAGGTTCACGTAAGACCAGGATGCTCAGGGCTTTGCCCAGGCAATCCCAATGTTAGAGATTCTGCAGGCACCCCATCCCAATGGTTGACCCTCCTCACAGGAAGATAAAAAAATCCCTTGTATCTAGGCAAATTTTCCTTTGTTACCATCTCTGATGATTGTCCCTTATCATTTTGCTGCACACCTCCAGGAAAATTCTGACTTTGTTCTTATCTCCACTGTGCCGTGGGGCTGTTGAAGACCAATGTGAGATAAGCCCTGAGCCCTGTCATCCTAGAGCAATCCCTTTCAGCCTTATGCTTTGCACAATAAAGGTTTGGAAAAATCCTGAAAATAGTGTGACCTGGGAATAGGGAATGAGAAAGTTACACTGAGATCCAAACTGGCAGTTTGTGCTAGTATGTCCCGACAACCCAAGGTGCTACAACTGCAGTGTGAAGGGATGGTCTGTTAGCAAGTACCTTCAGCCTGGTTTTGTAACACCAGTAGATATCAGGTGGAGAAAAAAAACTTTCCATAATGTGATTAAACAAATCTTAGAGAAAACTTCTCAGCACTCACAGTGATGCCCACATGACTAACCAGCTAAAGATTTGAAAATATTTATTTCATGTTCCTCAACTACTGTGCATAGATGTTGATCACAGTACATTGCAATCACAATTTTTTTTCTCCTGAATCTAAAAGCTTTTCTTCTGAAAGTCCAGAATGAGTTAGTGTGTGGAAAGCTTGTTTTGTGTTCAGCAGAGCTAACCAGGATGGTGGTACTTGTGATAAGGTAAAGATATTTCTTTACCTTAGTGATTCCTGAACTGTGGCTTATTTTGCATGTACTTGAGCCTGTTGGTACTCTGGGAGCTGAGGATGTGCTTATTAAGTAAAGGGACTGATCTTTCAAGTGGCAATATATCGTTAACTTTTTAAAACCTAAAGTTTTATGTATTCTGTGTGTTTTGGACCTTTTATTTTATGAGAGGGAGTTCTGTTCCTGCTGTACACACAGTGCAAACATGAGTAGATGATCTCATCCTGCTCTCACTAATGTATTGAACCTTGGGCTCTTTTGTCTTCTTCTGCAGAAACTCTCCTGGATGACTTCCTTCTCACGTACACAGTCTTCATGACAACCGATGACTTGTGCCAGGCACTTCTGAGGCAATATCCTTTTATTGAATGTTGTATTCACGGGGTTTGGATGGACTAGTTTAGCTGATCTTTCAAGGTCTCTTTTTCTCCAGTCCAGTTTTCATAAGGTTTATGGTACTTGGATTTCAATTCAAACCTATAGGTTCCCAAAATTTGGGTTATATTGTGTTCTTAACTCAAATGGGATTGTGGAGGAAGAGATTCAAATTGGAAACATTAAATCCAAATTTGGATATGAATTCCCCTAATTGGCACGTGCATGTAAATAGATATACACACACACATTCACTTGTAAAAGCGTATAGAATTTGTATAGCTGAGGAATTAATAAACAGAAAATTCCTGCTCTGAAGTTGAATGTACAAAGATAAAGTTGCCTCTGAGTAAACCCATATCCAAAACACAACACATTTGTGTATATGCATACTTACTTATCAAGAATGCTTAAATGATGTATTGAAACAGATGCCTAACTCATAGCAACAATGCAATTTTATGTCTCTTTTGTGTAAAGATAAGAAAACTTCTATACCTGTGACAAAATACCATTTGAAGTGGGGTTAAAACCTCTCCAGGTTATGGTAATTCTTAGAATACCTACATCTGCGTAATACACTTCAGAATACACAAAAAGTAAAAAAAAAAAGGTACATTGCAATAAATCTCTGCTCCTTTTATCATGTGATGCAGGATATATGTCTTAACTGATTCGAAGATAAAGGAATCATTTTCATGTGTTTCCAATGACTTTCGTAAACTATGGAGCATTGTTTGAAGGAACTTCTAGCTATAAAATGAACTTGTTTTTTCTTTTTTTTTTCCCTTTTCTTTTTGCCTCCCACTCTCTTTACCTTTTGTGGTAAAAACATCATATTTTTACCTAATAAAAGAAAGAACAGCAAAGGGCCAGGAACAGTGTACAAAGTGGGCATTGTCTGTCAGTTGATGTTTCTGATTTGTGAATAGAGAACAATGGTGGAAATAGTATTTCACTTTTTAAAAAAATTCTAATGGTGTTATTTCTGCAGATAGTTATTTGTGCAGGCTAAAAAGAAACTAACTACGTTTGCCTAGGTTTTTTATTATTGTTAACAACGCGTTGCCCTCCTTCACACAGACATTCACGGTGGCATTGGTGTGCAGGACAAATGTTCATTCCCAGTCTTGCAGAAAAGATGTGACTCAACATTGTATAATTCATTTTGAATTGATTTTACTTTTATAGACTCACCTCTCTAATCTGTAAAGGAAAAAAATCCTGCTGTCAAAGAGGATGAGCTGACATTTCTATTACTGAGAATTTCATTCCGAAGAGTTGATGAATCTCCTAGAGCTCCAGACAGGATAAAATATTTAAAACTGAGCAATGTAGTGAAAAAAAACTTTCGTTAGCAAATGTGATGATTGCCAAGTCTTTGCCATCACTTAACTTTTAAGTTTCAGTGAGAGCTTATTATTTATTCCTTAACGTACTGCACCTATAGTGCTAAGAACCACCAAGGGAAAGAAGATGACTCCGATGTGTCCTGTAGGAAACGAAAAGTCCTGCATTTGGTGTCTCAGTGGACTTCTCTCTACAAAGACTGGTTACATGAAGATGAGCATTTAAAACAATTTTTAAAGGTATGGAAGCACTTTCTAATGTATTTCAGTGCTGTTTAATTACATACTCTAAAAAGCCCCAACAACAAAACCTATAAAATATAATTTTTCATACTTAGATTTTCTCCATGAAATCTATAATATAAAAAGATTCACGTGTATCTTCCTCAAATGCCTTGGAGATAGTCAGTTTGAACACAAAACCTATATTGTCAATACATTAAATGTCAAAAACATTAACATATGAAACTTATAGAACTCCACAGTCTCTAGAAAATGGGAAAAGTTAGGAAGGTAAGAAATAAAGGTACAGAGATGTGGAGGTTGCTTGGACAGACTGATCATGTCAGCCACAACAGGGTCTACAGTCGATATCCAGACTGATCATGGATGAAGAGTTTTGAGGTCTCTGTAAGAGATGCTAGTTTGAGGAGTGAAATGCTTTTCCACAGTGTTTGCTGAGTGCACATAGAGAGCAGCACAGCTTTAAGTATTTTCAATAAATAAAATTACATCCTTACTTTTTAGCATGGATCCTCTAGTCTTTCTGACTGAGTTCCAAAATTTGTTATAGTTCCCTTGCTGATCGAAGACGCATCTGGTTGTTCGGTTTTTGGTTTTTTTTAAGTGTGCTTTTTTCATTGTTGTTTTGGTTTGTGGTTTTTGTTTGGTTGGGGTTTTTTTTTGTTTGTTTGGTTTGGTTTTTTAAAAAATATTTTCTTTTCCCTGCTTGTTGAAAGATGAATGTATTTTAGGAGACTTTGTAGGATCTTCCACTTTTCCTAGTGAGACACTTTGTCTGCAACTGAAGATTTTCTTAAGGACCTTTTAGTTCGGTCATTCGCTTAAGACAAAGGCATGAAACATTGAATGGAATTTGGAGAAAGTCTTGAGCTTCCTTGTTTTGTTTTGTTTTTGAAGTAGGACACTCTGCATGTGGAAGCAGAGACTTTAGGATTTTTGCTGTTTGGGGGCACCTTTTCTGACAGCAGTTTAGCTTACACTGAGTTGAATCCATCTTGATGCAGGACTTGTCTTTCTGGCCATGGAGGTGTGTGACTGTGCATTGTCACACAATTTTTCTGCTTGAAGTTTCTGTGCAATATTGAACAGCAGTAATGTTAATGATGCTTGCAGCTATACATGCAAAAAAAAGATATATAGGATCATAGGCTGAAATCATTCCTGCAGAAATCTGTGAATGTAGAAGTGTTAATTGGGCTAAAGCAAACCTGATTATTCAGCTCATACATATGATACTCATTTTCTTGGAAGG